CCAATATAAAAAAAAAAGTTCGGTTCTTATTCGGTTCTTCGGTTCTTGGTCGAGAACCGAGAACCGAACCAAACCATTCGGTTCTCGATTCGGATACCCGTTCGGGTATTTCATTTTAAAAAACCCGCTCAGTTCGGTTCGGTTCGGTTCGGTTCGGTTCCGGTTCGGTTCGGTTCGGTTCGGACATTTTGCCCAGCCCTAGTTGCAGTTTCGAAATTTCGGTGACTAACCACGTAGTTTTTAAAGTTTAGTGACCTGGTAGAAACTTTCGGTAAAGTTCAGTGACTATTGGGGTAATTAACCCATTATAATCCCCCAAACTTAGTTTTCGATACGCATAACCGTTCTCTCCTTCGGCTTTTATCTCGTACTCTTTTCTAGTCTTGACTCTTGATCACGTCCTTTGGGGCTCTATATATGTATATCCTTTGAGGGTAGAGGCTATATGTATATGTCCTTTGATGTTATATAAATCACTCATTTCTGTTTATTTTCCTTCTCGTATGTGATCATGTAAAGAGACTGATAACCTAATTTTCACCTTGGGAGGATTACGAGATATCAAGGCCTCTTTCCTTAACAAGGTGTTTATAGTATATTCGAGCCATTAACAATTCATCAAAATCTAACCATTATTTAAAGAGTCATTGATAAGTATATATTCCCATGCATGTCTCAATACAATGCTTACAAATATTTTAGATTTAGTATCTGGTAATAAGCAAAAGAAATGTTTTTCAATACTCTCAAAACAAATTAAGAACTTATTTTTCCTTTGTTCTGTACTTCATTTTGTGACGAGAATTTGTTTATAATTTGATTTTGTTATTCCAGGGATTTTTTTAAGTGATTACTCATTCAAATAGGATGGCCACAAGTTTTGCTGCTTTTCATTTTGGTGTCACCAACTTTATGGTAGGGGTGTAAGCGGTCCGATTTTATCGATTTTTGACAGATTTTCAAACATTATCGTTTAAACCGGTTTGAAAAAAACTCAAACCTAAACCAAACCATTTTGAACAGTTTGAAAAAAAACTCAAAAATAAACCTAACGATTTGGTCCGGTTTTAAACCGCCATTTCGTCGTATATTTTTTTGCCTATCTACTTTTATGTCATTAATTCATCGAATTCAATATATATTTATATCTTACTAACAATAAAT